GTTTGTCCTCGAACAAAACTATCATCTAAATAACGATGAACACACAAGCATGCAACATATAATTCATTGGACAATCAAGCTTTTTACCTCATGATTCAAGATATTAGTGTTTACTCTATAAACATGCTTTAAAGTCACAATACCAAACCAATATCCACTCTTTCAGTGCAAAATCGGCGTCTGTGTGTGAAGAACCAAGTAATCAACCATGACCACACACGTCGTTTCAATTCTCAACCGTCTGTGATTAAATATATCCTTACATTTCTCGTTTGATTCACACACCCCCCAAATTTATTCTTTTTCACTCATTCCTAATGTGTAATCTAAGGCAGAATATTTCATTACTATGCTCACCCTCTAGAGTTAAGGTGGACTTCACTAGTTGCAAGTCAACACTTCAATGAACAAAGATTCTCCAATTATTTGATTGCTTCGACCTCCAAGACTCAACTAGGCTAATTATCCTTTGTCAAAGGTCAAATTTCCTCAAATAAGTGTTGGAACTTAAGCAAGGTATTTAGTACTTTTACTCTTATTCTCTCTATTAAGCTTTTTAGATGACCCTTGTAGTAAGCTTTAGATCGATGACTCACAAATCAGATGATTTTAGGGCACCAGGTTTTAAACACCCTTACATGCTTACAGACCCGAGTCAAAAAAGTTTTGAAGAGAACACATTTTTTTCAAGTGTAACTTCATCTCTTTGCTTTCTAAATGATCTTTGTAGCGAGTTTTAGGTTGATGACTCTCAAGTCAGACGATTTTAGGGCACCAAATTTTAAGATACCCCTGCTGACTTAATTACTTGAGTCATGAAGGCTTTAGAAAGAAGTCTTAAATTTCAAAATATATGCGTTGACTAGTGCAATGCCTCTATCACATACTTATTCAAATAAATCGATCTCAAACTTAAGACTTTCGTCGAGTTTTATCATGTTAGTCTATGACAATCTACACATTTCACATATGGAATCCAAATTCACATCCGCATCTTCCTACAACTATAAAATCACCCCCAACTGTGCTAAATTCGGTCTAAGGATAGATAATTTAATATGGTTTAGGTAAAGCATCTATGTCCAACTAGATCAACCTATCAAAAACAAGAAATAACTCATTTCATCACAATATCAAATTCAATTCTAGTGCACTTATAATATCAAGTTTGTAAGGTTGAGCTTCAATTAGTCTAACATGTGTCATATCCACAGTTCATAAATCAACTCCAAATCTCAAATTAAATCATTATTGTTCGCCAGACTGTCTACCCACACAAGCATACGACTGAATAAAAGAGATTATTTTTTGAAATTCTTTAAATTTTTCAATTTTTTTTAATTTAAACAAACACAAAAACATAAAAGCATACGAAAAACAAACACTAAAAATTGTTTTACCCTCAAACTTAAAATTGACATTGTCCTCAATGTCATATAACATAAATAAGCACATAAAGGGGTAGGGAAGAAAAGGAAGAAGGTACTCTCCAAATTTTTCTGTTGAATGTATGAGGTACTGTGTGTGACGGCTAGATAATCTTCTTCATTGTGCTTTCCATTGGGTCTATGTTTGTTTGATTGTTACACAATGTCATGTCACTGCACATAATAGTAAATCAAACATTAAAAATCAAATAACTTAGAACATGTGTTACTTAGTCCAAACAATCAAAATAACCAACAATAAATTCAAAGATCTATGAGCAAAAAAGATATGGATGATGACTCATTAATAAACTAATAAATAAACTAAACTATCCTATAGCTTGAAAACAAAATAAATAAAGGAAAGAAAGCTTAGGCTACCTCCCAATAAGCGCTTCTTTTAAGTCATTAGCTGGACTTTGTGCCGCAATTATTCTGGAACAGAAAGTTCAAGGCTCTCTTTAGCGGTGAGAAACTCCTTCACATAATGTTTGATGTGTTGTCCATTAATCTTGAAAGTTCCCTTTGTTTGGTGATGTAGTTCAGCTGTGCCGTAGGAAAATACCTGGGAGACAATGAAAGGGCCGTACCATCTATATATCAATTTTTCTGGGAAGAGCTTAAGCCTTGAGTTGTATAAGAGGACTTGATCTCCTACTCTGAAAATTCGTTGCCTGATGTTCTTGTCATGCTACTCTTTGTCCTTTCCTTGTAGATGGATGCATTCTCATATGCTTTTCTTCTAAATTCTTCCAATTCATGTAGCTGCAGTATTATTGTTTTTCCAGTCTTTTCTAGATCCATGTTCAACTGCTTTAGTGTCCAGTATGCTTTGTGTTCAAACTCGACTAATAGGTGGCATGCTTTCCTAAAGACTATTCAGTATGGCGACATTTCAATAGGTGTCTTGTAAGCAGTGCGATATGCCCATAAAGCATCGTCCAATCTTTTTGACCAATCCTTACGAGATCAATTCACAATGAATTCTAGAATTATTTTTCAGCCATCGCTTAGAAGTTTCAACTTGTCCACTTGTTTGAGGATGATATGGTGTAGCTATTCGATGTTGTACCCCGTATTTATGCATCACTGCCTAGAATAAATCGATTGCAAAAATGAGTTCCATCATCACTTATTATTGCCCTAGGTGATCCATAGCGGTTAAAAATATGTTTCTTTATGAAGTCCACCACTACTCTTGCATCATTTGAAAGCAATGTTTTAGCTTCCACCCATTTAGAGACATAATCCACTGCCACTAGAATGTACCGATTGTTATAAGATGACGAAAAAGGACCCATAAAATCAATCCTCCAGACATCAAATATTTTCACCTCCAAAATATTGTTAAGTGGCATTTCATGACGACCTGATATGTTACCTGTTCTCTGACACTTATCACATAACCTACAGAATCTATGGCAATCTCTTAACAATGTAGGCCAAAAGAAACCACATTGAAGCACCTTTGATGCTATTTTAGTGGGGCTAAAATATCCTCCATAAGCCGAAGCATGAACCCGAGAAAGGATGGATTTCATCTTATCCTTCGGCACACATCTTCTGATAATTTGGTCTGCCCCTCTCCTGTATAAATTTGGATTATCCTAATAATAGAATTTCACTTCATGAAGCAGCTTCTTCTTCTGCTAATAGGTGAGCTTCTTCTTCTGCTGATAGGTGAGATCTGGATATAAATAGCCACTAGCTAAGTAATTAAAAATGTCTACATACCACGGAGTCTTTTCTATCTGTAATAACTGCTCATCTGGGAAGACTTCATTAATATCCATATCCTCTGAATCCTGCAGTTACTCTAGCCTTGATAAATGATCTGCTACCTAATTTTCTGTACCCTTTTTATCGTGAGTTTCCACATCAAACTCTTGCAGTAACAGAACTCATTGAATCAGCCTAGGTTTAGCATCTTTCTTCTCAAACAAATATTTTAAGGCTGCATGGTCAGTGTAGACTATCACTTTTGAACCAATCGGATAGGAATGAAATTTGTCGAAGGCAAAGACCACTACTAGCATCTCTTTTTCCCTTGTTACGTAGTTGATCTGAGCATCTGTCAAGATTTTGCTGGCATAATAGATAACATGTAACACTTTTCCCTTGCGTTGGTCAAGCACCGTTCCCACTGCAAACTCACTAGCATTACATATAAGTTCGAAAAGTAGATCCCAATCAGGTATTGCTATCACAGGTACAGAAGTTAACTTTTCTTTCAAAATATTAGAGGCATTTAACTTATGAGAAAAGTGAAATGGCACATCCTTCTCTAGTAGATTACACAGAGGTTTTGAAATTTTTGAGAAATCTTGCATGAACCTTCTGTAAAACCCTGCATGTCCTAAGAAGCTTCTGATCTCTTTAACTGAATTAAGAGGCTGTAATTTTTCGATCACTTGTATCTTGGCTTGGTCAACTTCAATACCCTTTAAGGAAATCCTGTAGCCCAGCACTATCCCCTTATTCACCATAAAGTGGTACTTTTCCCAATTGAGCACCAGATTCTTCTCTTCACACCGTTGTAATACAAGCGATAGTGGTTCCAAGCAATCATCAAAAGAATCCCCAAACACTGAGAAATCATCCATGAATACCTCGATATTTTTTTCCACCATGTCAGAGAATATGGCAATCATGCACAGCTGAAAGGTTGTAGGTGCGTTACATAGACTAAACGACATTTTTCTAAATGCAAATGTACCATAGGGACATGTGAAAATTGTTTTCTCCTGGTCCTCTAGAGTAATGGTTATCTGATTATACCTTGAATATTCGTCCAGAAAGCAATAATGACAATGTCCTACTAACATCTCTAACATATGATTAATGGATGGCAATGAGAGGTGATCCTTTCAGGTAGCATTATTCAACTTTCGATAATCTATATATACTATCCATCCTGTTACTAACCATGTTGATATCAGCTCATTGTTCTCATTCTTCTTTACAGTAATTCCACCCTTTTTAGGCACCACATGTATTGGACTTACCAAAGAACTATCAGAGATGAGAAAGATAATACCTGCATCAAGCAATTTCAACACTTTTTTTCTCACCACTTCCTTTAAAGTTGGATTTAACCTGCGTTGTCCTTCTACTGATGGCTTTGACTCATTCTCCATTAAAATTTTGTGCATACACAAAGTAGGACCGATTCCTCTTATGTCGGCTATTGTCCATCCAATTGCAGTTTTATACTCCCTAAGTATCTGCAATAGCTTGTTCTCCTCCTTCTTTATCATATCATTTGCAATGATCACTGGTAATGTTGTAAATTCTCCCATATATGCATAGCGTAGGTGTGAAGGCAAGGGCTTTAGTTCAAGAATGAGTGCCTTTTCCATTGAAGGTACCGATGGTGAAAGGTTGTCACCAAGAGATTCATACTGCCAAGGTCTCATTCCTATTGGTTGCTCGGCCAAGTTGACAACGCCTTTAGTTTTTTTTGCATTATTACTTCCAATTGTGCAATTTCTGGTTCGCAAAGAATTGTTTGATGCTCTGTCTCAAATGTATTTGCCACCAACTCTTCAAGAACATCTACTTGACAACAGGTGTCTAAGTCGGTGGATCTTTCATCGCCTTGAGCATGTTAAATATGACTTGCTCATTGTCTACCCAGAGAATCATCTTTCCATCGTAAACATCAATCAACGCTCTTTCGATAGCTAAGAAGGGTTTTCCCAAAATTAGAGGGATGTTTGAATCCTCATCTATGTCCAAAATGATGAAGTCAGCTGAAAAAATAAATTTATCGACTTTAACTAGCACATCTTCAATAATCCCGTTTGGTCGTTTGATCGATCTGTCAACCAGTTGCAAAGAGATAGTTGTAGGGTTTGCTTCCCCTAATCCAATAGACCTATAAATAGAAAGAGGCATCAAATTAACACTGGCACCTAAATCGCATTAAGAATATTCAAAATAATTAGAACCAATTGTGCAAGGTATCGTGAAACTCCCTGAGTCTTTTAGTTTAGGGGGTATCTTTTTCAATAGAATTGCACTGTATTCCTCGTTCAGGCAGACAGTCCCATGTTCTTCCAGCTTCCTTTTGTCAGACAAGTCTCTTTCAAGAATTTTGCATAGCCGGGCATTTGGGCTATTGTATCTGCAAATGGGATATTTATGTGCAATTTCTTGAAAATCTCCACAAACTTGGTAAATTGTTTGTCCAGCTTCTTTCTCTGTAACATTTGAGGAAAGGGAATTGGTGGCACATAAGCTTTTACAGGGCTGGGTGCTTTCACTGTGAATGTGTCTTTCCTTTCGTCTTCCTCATTAGTTAGTGGTTCAGACTTTACTTCTTTTCTAGCCTCTTCAACCATTACTTCTTTATCTTTTCTCTCTGGTTTCTTCACATGTATCTCTGGAAGTTGTACCCCACTTTTGATTATAATAACTTGCACTTGCTCTTTTGGATTGACCATTGTTTTGCCTGGCAATGTTTCTTGTGGGTGTTTTGTAAGTTGTTGAGCTATCTGACCAATTAGAATTCCCAGTTTCTTGATTGATTCTTGTTGATTCTGAAAGTTAGTGTCAATCTACTGGAAAACCTTGTATGTCTTCTACTTGTATTGGTTGAACATCTTTCCCAAACTTGATTTTTTTTTCCTGTTAGGCATTGTTTGAACTATTCCCTTGCTTATTATCCGACCATCTGAAGTTTGGGTGTTGCCTCCATTTTGGGTTATATGTTTGTGAAAATGGATTAAAATTTCGAGAGCCATTTTGAATGAAGTTGACTTGTTCATTCGAAAATCCCATTGATGTGCAGTTTTCTGTCAGATGATTAGCCCCGTAGTTTTCGCATGATGAACTGGCCATTACTGCATGTGATCCTTTTATTTGTGACTTCACTAATAACTCTACCTATTTTGTTAATGCTGCTATTTGGGAGTTGGTAGATACTATGCTATCTAATTCATATATTCTAGCTGCTCTTGGAGGCACCACTTTTTTTGATAAAAACATGGAATGAGTAGTAGCAATCAACTCAACTAGATCCATACATTGTTACACTAATTTCCCTATGATCGATTCGCTTGCAGATGAATCCACTTGAGATTTGGATAGTAGTGAAAGTCCTATGTAGAAATACTGCACTTGATTTCCAATAGTGAATCCATGATTTGGACACTTCCTCATCAACTCCTTAAATCTGTTCCATATCTCGTGCTAGCTCTCCCAATCTTTCTGTTGAAATGTTTGAATTTTCAATCTAATTTTTGCTACTTTAGCTGGTGAGAAAAACTTTTTGCAAAATAGCCTGGTCAGTTCCTCCCATGTGGCAATATTTCCATTAGGTTCGGCATTCAGCCATTCCAATGCTACATCTCTCAATGTATATGGAAATAATCGTAGCTTTATGGTGTCCTCATTAACCCGGGAGCATGACAATTCTTGCAATTTCTGAGAAATCTGGAGATATGTGTGTTTGGATTCTCATGAGGTAAACTGTAGAATTGTAAAGTGTTACTCACCAAATTACTCCAGTCAGCACGTATCTTAAAGATGTTTACCCCCAAAATCTGGATAAACTATACTGGACTGTGCAGATGCTTCTATAGGCGTTAAGAACATAGACACTGACAAGTGTCCGTTATTTACTTCCCTTTGCTCTTGTTGTTGATCTCTCGCGGCTATTTGTCCAATTGGCTGTATAGGGATAGGGTTGTTTAGATTATTAGCCATTTGATATTGCTATTTCTGTTTGTGTTCCCTGCGTCTTCATTTGAAGGTACGTTCTATTTCCGAATCCAACGGTTCAAGATCGTCATCTTGGACACGGAGCATACAACAAACACATTTTTCGGTAAATAGAAGAAAACAAATAAATCAAATAACAGTTAAAATAAAAATAAATTAAGACTAAAAGTAATGATCCCCGACAACGGCACCAAAACTTGTTGTCGATTTTATCCCGCAAGTGGACGGATCGTAACAAGTAGTAAAGTGGACATTTTTGAGTCCAGATTATCGTTCCCACAAGGACTATACTTTAGTACTCAATTTATTATTCCTAACTTCTATTTATAAAAAACGTGAATGCAATAGAAAATGAGTGAGAATTCAAATAATGAATGGATATTATGGTGGAACAAATTTACCTATTGGTCACCTTTATTTCTACTATGGAGATTCATAAAACTTAAGTAGTGTTCGGTCGAATTCTTTTATGGTATTCAATTTATCCATCTCGAGTTCTCATTAAGCTTATTTAAATAATTCAATTCCATATCTCTATGCAAATTAACATTATTTAAATGAAATAATAGTTCTAAGAATTCCTATAGTGCCGTAGCAATTAATATAAGTATCTTTACACGTTATATTAATTTACCAGATTTTAATACGTGGTCTAAATAAGAATTCGCATCTCTACGTAATTATTGTTCACGAAATCATTGAATAATTGGCTAGAAAATTCAAAGCATTGAAAACATAATTAAAACCCACACTTAAAATATAAAAGAAAAAAGAATCTCAAATAAAAGAAATCAAGGATCCTAAATTAGTTACATTCTTCGTCCTAAAATTAAATTTTGATATAATAAATTTTAGTCCTTGAGTCCTTTCATTCTTGCAACTTATGTATTCTTTTATTCAATTCAAGTCCTTCATTTTTCAAAATATGAAATTTGATCTCCAAATTCTTCAATCTTTGATTCATGGTCCGAATCAACTATTGGATTGTTACAACTTGGTCCCAAACTTTTGCATTTCACTCTTTTTCGGGTTTTCGTCTCCTTTCTTTCACTTTCTTGTACCAATATTGACTTCTACCTATTCAACACCAATTGTAACAATTTAGACCATAATTTATCAGAGAACACTAAATATTATCGTTTAAAGGCCTCGAATAAATATATAAAATACACTTATCAAATATTCAGAGAACTATATCTAGTACGATTAGTAGTTAGAAGTATGTTATGATGTATACTTGTCCTAATATTTGTCATGTCATGGATCTAGTCACTAGGTATCAATATTATCCTTAAAAATGGTATTGTGATAGCTTAATGGTATTGTCATCAGTTATTCTATTTTATTGTTAAAGGAATAACTTGTGATTGGAATAGATATAGAAATGTCGATTGAGGATGAGAGTTAGTCAAACACAAGCAGTTGTTAGACTTTTACAATCTTGCTCTATAGAGTAGCAAGAAGAATATCTTGTACTGTATTTCTTAACAACTAAATAAATTATTTGGTATAGATGTGTATTCAATAATACTAAGAGGATACGAGATCCACGATATTTATGCAGTTGTCTCATGTGTTAAAAATGTCAAATATCAGGATGGAACCAAATACTTGATGGTATTTATACGAGAGACATTAGTAAAGAAAGTGTTTTTGCAATATATCCATGTAAATTATGACATGTAATCATCATACTCTGAAAATATCTAAAGACACATTTGTTAGTTAGAATTACGTAGAATATGATACTTAGTGTATCATAAAACTCTTAATTGAGTTTTGTGTGCCCATTGAAAAATAATTTTGAGTTAATGTGTAATTTATCCTTGGGAATACGAGATAATGATTTACATGCACGTATAAAGTATGTCGAACAAGTTGAGATTGGTTCACTTATACGAACAATCGCCTCAGACACTTTGAGGTGTGCTGAAATGAGATAAAGTGATCATGTTGTGTATATGATCCGATCGTTTTTATGAGATATCAAGATGTAATTATAACAAGTAATTGATACGGATTTCGCTATCTTTTAGACTTGTTTAATGTCAAATTGAGTTCTCGATTTAATATTTCCTAAACGAATAAATATAAGGAGAACTCAAGTTACTTATTGGGGAATACTTGAACTAGGATCTGTACATTATTATTCGTTTATTAAGCAAGTGACATACGCTATAAGAAAAGAAGAAAACATTGTAGCACGTGTTTCATACCACGTGTGCTTTTGTGATCAATACTGTGTAAATGAGTGAATGGATCTCCGCTTACTCATTATGTGAGACCTTGCGGTTTATATAACCTCATGTGTACCCTTATGAATTTTGATCATTTCTTGATATTTTATTTCATTGTTGTTACTTTAATATTTTACCAACGACTATGATTAATTCAATTTAATGGGACATGTCTAGGTTAGCAGTTGATTTAAAGTTGAAGGATTCAAGTAGAAAATGAGAACTATTTTAACCAACATTTATATTTGTATTCACTGGCCGGACAATTGTGTTTAACCATTTAGGGTAAAAAAACATAATTGTATATACAACGACATAATGTGTGGTTCAATTGAAAAATAATTGAATTAATGTTGAAAAATGAGTTTGAGGTATAGCAAGATGTAATGTTCTTATAATAGAGTTACTAAATATTCCTAATAGGTTTATAGTATCATGAGTTTTAATATTATTTACTGGTCGGACGATCTATTTGTCGTATAAATTTTTGTCAGATAAACCTTGAGAAGGATCTAATGTGTGATATTCATTGTTACTTGTGGTTCGGGTCAAACTCGTTATGTGTGAGGGGAGATCTTGGAAAATACGAGCCATGGGTTGCCCATGTGAGGTTACCCAACCCGCATGGTCTCAAAAGTGGATAGGAGGGATTATTTCGAATGGAATTCAAATTCATAGGTTTCCTAACTCCCTACAACTTCCAAATAACTCATTACAACCTCTTCATTGAAGTTATGAAAAAAGAGGATAAGAAAATAATGAAAATCCATATAGAAAATGACTCAAAAATAGAATAGTGTCTAAAACCACATACAAGGCATGAAAACCTCACAAAAAGATTAGGAATTTAGATTATGTATTATAATCCCCTTCTATTATAATCGGGATTGAGACCGTTTGAGAATAATGAAATGCATATTTCAAATTTTAAAAAGTAAGATGATTCAACCATTTAAAAGATCTTGGAATTTATCATTTTATGTAATGATTTTAACACTAAATTTATATTCAAGTAAGCTGTGATTTATTACACTATTAACTTGTAGTGTACTCATGTTGCCAATATGCTTGATCGATTGCTTGCTAATGGAGGTCTAGCTTGTTTTTATTATTAACAAACAAGATTAACAACTTATTGAATGTATTGTTTTTCTTCCATTTCTAATTGACAATATTATACATAATACTAGTCTCATGAGTGTAACTATAATCAACAACTTGTAAAATAGATATTGAATGTAAATTAACAACTTATTGAATATATTATTTTTTCTTCCATTTCTAATTGACAATATGATACATAATACTCATCTCATGAGCGTAACTATAATTAACAACTTGTAAAATTGATATTGAATGTAAATTACGACATAGACATAACAACATAATAATAATATTTTAAATGTAGCCCTAGTTTGTGCCCCATTTTAAGTTAAAATAAACATCACAATAGTACTTTTTTGGAGACTGCGTCGTTTAAAAGTAAGGAATTTTTTTTGATATATGTGCAAATTGTTTTATTGATAAAATGTGTGATTGAAAATGAGTAAAAAAATTAATTATTGGATAATAGGGATCCAACCGTGGCTTAATTTTTCTTTAAATTAACATTAAAAATCTAAGGGCCTGTTCGGTAATAATTATAAGAATTGATTTTTTGACCGTTAGAGAGAAAAGTGGGTTCCACCCATATTGAAGAAGTCAAAAATAACGGCTGAAATAGTGAAATAACTATCAAAAATTGATTTTTTTTTGTTGAAAAATTGCTACCAAATAACGGCTTAAGTCTTTAAACATCAAATCTGTCATACTCCCTTTGTCCCAATTATATAGATTGAGTTTTTCTTTCTCTTATTCCAAATATATAGGCTCGTTTCCTAATTTAGAATATTTTGTTTTGTTCATTTACCAATACACCATTATTCAATTTTCCCTACTTAATATGCCAACTTCTTTAAAATCATCCAAATACACATATTTCCCACTTCGTGAAAACATGAAACAACTCTCATTTTTTTTTCAAATTAAATCATTCAAATTCTTTACTAATTCCAATATTAATTTATTACTGGATACTGAAAATTAAATAAGGGTAAACTAGGAAAGATCTTAGCAACAATTAATTTTCCAACGATATTAAAAACGATTTCTTAATCCATGTGAAAAACGCAACAAGCCTATATAATTGGGATGGAGGGAGTAAAATATTGCTGAAAGCAATTTCCAACAATCTCCTAATTGCATTAGCAAAAGTTTTAATTACAAACGGTTTCTCATTAATAAAAAAATGAGAATGAAAAATATAACTGTTACTGACCCTATATAAGAGAACAATTTAAATATGGTGAGATGTGATTGATAACGGTAATATTTTTCATTTTAATGGCCAAATAATAGGAAACAAATAGGGGCTAAATGTTTCCTTAATTCCTTATGACATTATGTTAAGTATTGGTGCTTAGCAGATCATTTACATTAAATGTTCCCTTAATTCCTTATGGCATGTTTCACTATAATACTGGATAGAATTTAAAGCTTTAAAGAAGAAAATTATATTCATTTTAATATCCGGTTATATCCAATATCGTTCATCAAGAACTCGTTGATGTGTACGCAAATCACTACAATTTTACAATACAACTATAAAGAACAAATACTTTATATTATTTTGACCAATGAAAATTTTAAAATTTATAGCTGACTTTTTCCATCTTCCAAATTGCAACTTGTTGCCAACCATTATCCAAAGTATTTGCATAAATCAAGATTCGAATCTACCCTTCCAAATGGATCACCAAATGTTACTTTATTCATTGTGTAATGTGACTTCAATGAACACTTCTACATGTACAAAAGGATTTTTGCCAAAATACATACATAAAACTCATAGTTCTGGGGCCCACACACATTTTTGACATTTTTTATACAACATGGGGCCCACAAACTTGTCTCTATTCTGTAAACAGTTTGTGAAAAAATTTCTATACACCCAGATTTTTTCGACTTCAATTGCCCATTTATTAGGTATAGACTCTTCTTTACATTAAAAACCGACATTAAAAATCAACCTAGTTGGTTCTACTTTAGTCACACCAAATTATTCTTTATCTCCAGGGAGGTTAAGATTAGGGTGAATATGTTCTAAGTTTTAATCACAAAAGTTGATGTTTTTTCCTTGGGTTACACCAAAATTATGTAGAAAAAGAAAAGATATAAAATAATCTTTAGCACATCAAGTTGAGATGATTTAAGACTTATCGAAACATTTGATCACTTGAAAATCCATTATCAAAAAGTGTGGCGCGATAGATTCTTTTTACTTGTAAAGGATAAGATGCCGAGAAGTTATAAGAATCTGATTGTTGCTTATATGAAGTCATCAATGATTGATTGCATGGTATTCTATTGAAATTTATATCCACGAATTGCAAGTCGTTTTAATTATTGTATAGGTTTACCATATAAAATTTTTCAAAAGTTTAATATAACCCACATCGAAAATATAAAATGATGGGATTTAACAGCTATCCATATTGTACCATTTTGAAAAATCACATCATATTTTATGAAATGATTAGTTTATGAGAAATTTGTAACCAAAGTAGTTGGGTTACACTTTATGAAGATGTAAAATACAACACATTTTATCTATAATCAAATATTTTCTATAAAAGCACAAATTTTTTAGCTCTAGTAGGCACCATGGAGAAGCTATAAAGAAATTGGCAAGTCGGCCAAGGGTGGGGCGAGCCCAAAAGCACTACCTGACACCACCATTTTATGTCCCCATCTCTGTCGAGAAGAGCTCCCCACGACCACCACCATCTTTTCAAGCCCTTGTCATTCTCTATTTGGGGCATTCTGATAATGGCACAACTAAGTTTTGCATGGGATGAAGGAATAAAGTACAAATGGCCGTGCATCAAATGAAAATGATAAGCATTGTCTTGTTTTTATTGCAACATCAAACCATATCCTAGATAGTGTGTATAATTTATGGAACCAATTGAAAGTCACGTATAGAATAGTAATATCCCATTGTCGTAAACCACACTCGTATCATTGCAACTAGTATTAGTTCAATACCAAGGACACACTTCCTCTAATTTGCTTCATCTTCTTAATCCTTTATTTTGAACCTCGATTTCTCCTAGAAAGATGGGGAGTAGAAGAGGAGAGAAGATGATCTTGTAGAAGTAGGATTAGATTATGGAGAATGACGATGGGGAGTTTGAAAATAAAAATTAATATTGTAAGATTTGGACTAAATATTTAATTAAATTAATTGTCAAGATATTACAATTGACCTAATTTTTCAGTTTGGAAAACTAAGCTGGTGTTTGGTCCGCATTTTTTAAAATTCATTTTATTCTCAACTTTATTTTTATTTGCACGTTTAATAGAACTAAAAAACTTTTATCGACTTTTCAATCATGTTTCACTTACATTTTATCAAAATACGCTAAAAATCTAATTTTATTCAAACCAAACATGGACTAAATACAAGCCCCGCCTAATTTTCCTTGTTGAATTTTTCGAAATATTTTTGACTTTGAGGATTCCGATTAGTGATAATTACATCAAACCAGAATTTTTAATATCCAATTTCAAAAATCAAATATAAAATTCATTTATACAAAAATCAAATTTTAATTCAAATATTTAATATTATTAATACAATCAAAATTCATCACAGACCCTAATTACTCTCCCCCTTCATTTCTCTCTCTACGTCTCTCAATTTCCATCTCTTTCTCTCTCACACGACAATCGGCATCCCTTCTCCTCTATCCACCTATTCCATCTTCTCTCTATCCTTCCACTGGTGACGTTGGACGCTGCGGGGATAGGCAAGATCGATGCAGTTACAAGAGACCAACGTCGACGCTATAGGGAGAGGACCGGCGCCACTGCCGACTCCGAGCTCTGTCTTGCCGTTGAAAAGGGAGCTCTGTCGCTGTCGAGATCTCTACCTAGGAAAGTGGATAGTTCGTGTAGCCCAGCAATGACCCGCTTGTGTAGCCCAGCAATGCTCTCATTGCCTCCGCCTCTGCTCGCACCTCGCAGTACCGGTTTATAGCTTTCAATGTGTATTTCTTGTACAAAATTTACAAAGGCAAAATGAAATCTTTGGCTCTCTCTTCTTCTTCCTCATCAGTCCCTCGAATTCTTTTTTCTCTCGTTCAACATTATTGTGTATCATCGTTCTCTTCTGTCCCAGAAATAACAGATGTCCCCAGTCCCAAACCTGCTGCTGCTGTTGACTCCAACTGGACCTCAGAGTCCGAAAATTCAAGCAAGATTAAAACTTTTCAAATTCCCAGTTCAGAAAACCCAGTTTTGACCCAAACCCATGTCATGGAAACTCTTTTATCTAATAGGAATGACCCATTTTCAGCACTTGAGTACTTCAAATGGGTTAAGAAACAGAGGGGTTTTGCGCGTGGAAGTGTGGATCCTTTCTGTCTCTTGCTGCACATTCTGGTAAGTTCTGGGAGCCATAACGGTGTAGCTAGGAATTTGCTTAACAGTTATGCATCTAGTAATTCAGTTCCCTCGGCAGCTGTTCTTGTCGATCACTTAATTGATTGTTCAGAGAGATTTGGTTTTCAGTTAGATGCGCGGGTTTTTAATTACTTGTTGAATGCATATGTTAGAGCACGGCGATGTGAAGATGCTGTTGATTGTTTTAAAGCAATTATTTCTTGTGGTATAGAACCTTGGGCACTGATTATGAATAATTTTTTAAGTACTTTGGTTAAAAGAGATATGAATGAAGAGGCTTTGACTTTGTTTAATGATGTCATTTTAAATAAAATTAGTTATGATTGTGCAACTGTGAATGTGATGATGTGTGCGTGTTTAAGGGAGAGTAAGTTGGAGGAGGCCGAGAAGTTTTTTGTGGATGCCAAGGGTAGTGGAATGAAGCTTGATGCGGCTATTTATACTACTGCTGTTCGAGTTGCTTGTATGAAATTGGATGCTACTGTTGCATGTGATTTGTTGACTGAGATGAAGAAGATGGATTGGGTTCCTTCTGAGGGTACATTTACAAATGTGATATGTACTTGCGTGAAGCAAAGGAATTTAACTGAGGCCTTAAGGCTTAAGGATGAGATGATAAGTAGTGGATATTCGATCAATTTGGTTGTTGCCACCAGCTTGATGAAGGGGTACTGTCAGCAGGGAGATTTGATCAGTTCTTTAGAATTGTTTGATAAGATTATCGAAGATGGACTGATTCCCAACAAGGTCACTTATGCAGTCCTTATTGAAGGATGCTGTAGGAATAGAAACATGGAGAAGGCACAGCAGTTATACACTCAAATGAAATATGCAGGTATCCAACCAAGCATCTATGTTATGAATTCCTTGATTAATGGATTTTTGGAAGCTCAACTGATGGAGGAGGCCACCAAGCAGTTTGATGAAGCTGTTGAGGTTGGTGTTGCCAATGTATTTACGTATAATAATATGTTATCCTGGTATTGTAAAGAGGGAAGGGTGGATGAAGCTTGCAGTATATGGGATAAAATGATTGACCGAGGCGTTCAACCAACCACGGTTTCATATAACAACATGATTCTTGGAAACTGCAGGAAAGGGAAGATAAATATAGCATTAGACTTACTGTCCAAGATGCAAGGAAAGAACTTGAAGGCTAACGTCATCACATATAGTATATTGATAGATGGATATTTCAAGAAAGGTGAGTGTGAACTAGCGCTTGGTATGTTTGATCACATGATAAGCTTAGGCATTGCCCCGACTGACTTCACATTAAACACGATTATCAATGGATTATGCAAAGTTGGTCGATCTTCTGATGCAAAAGATAAGTTGAAATGGTTGATGAAGATGGGATTCAATCCCATTTGCATGACTTATAACATCATTATTGATGGCTTTGTAAAGGAAGGTGATATTAGTTCTGCAGTGGCTGTTTTCAGAGAGATGTGCGAAAGGGGACTTTCCCCAAACGTGATCACTTACACCACTCTAATTGATGGGTTTTGCAAAAGCAATAACGTTGATCTTGCCCTGAAGATGCAAAATGAGATGCGAGTCAAAGGTATTCAGTTGGATGTAACCGCATATGGCACCCTTATTGATGCATTTTGCAAAAGAAGTGACATGAAACGTGCTGATGAACTTTTTTATGAAATTTTGGAAGTTGGTCTATCTCCCAACAGGATAATTTATAATACCATGATTAGCGGATTCAGGAACCTAAATAATATGGAAGCAGCACTTAATTTATATAAAAAAATGAGGAAAGAAGGAATTCCATGTGATTTGGCAACGTACACCACAGTGATTGATGGGCTGCTAAAGGATGGGAATATAGTGATTGCTTCAGATCTTTACGAGGAGATGCGTACCAAAGGTATATTGCCGGATGTGATTCTGTACACTGTCCTGGTACATGGTCTTTGTAACAAAGGACAGGTGGAGAATGCACGCAAGGTCTTGGAAGAGATGTATATAAAGAGTATGACCCCTAATGTACTTATTTATAATACATTAATTGCTGGATATTTTAAGGAGGGGAATTTGCAAGAGGCTTTTCGGTTGCATGATGAAATGCTTGATAAAGGTCTTGCGCCTGATGACACAACTTATGATATTCTTGTGAGTGGAAAGTTAAAAGATAATGGCTTGCCTGTCGGAGGTTCGAGTGTCTAAATCACCACCACACTAATTGCTTGCAAAACATATTCTGTTGTTCCAAAGGAGAGAATCCCTGATCTTACATCTATTCACTTGTCTATTGTGCTGAAGGTAAATTAAACTTCCATGTATTTGTTTGTGTTTTACTTTTGAAAGGCAATTTTACTTTTGCCTCTAAAATGACCAGCAGTCTTTTCATATATAGATTGTGTTATCCTTTCATTTATAGTGATTAACCTTCATTTCTGTATAGAGCCTGAATCATCTCTGAAAGTAACCAACAATTTTTGGAGATGTCTTGATTCTTGCGTAGTTGGGGACTGATGTATCGTACTTGTCAATCTTTGCTAGTTCGGTAAATGGATAAATGTACCATGATCTGAACTCACGAAATTTGATAAGGAAGCCTTTTTATGGAAGTTTGTTCTGCAACATCTATAATGCTGGGTGGTGGAAAATTTGACCCCTTCATACATCTCATAACCAGCCTTTTTTGTCTTTTTTTTATTCTCCAGCTGTCATACTTGAGAGTATAAAATCATAGTGGAAAGCTTTGATTCATTCAGTTTGTGGCTTTGTTCAATTGTACTGATTGTCCATGTGCATTTTGTGTACCACAGACATTTATGATGATGGTGGTTTGGCTGTGACTCAAGTGATGCTTGAATACTTTGATTTGTCTAGCACCTCTGACACATTGACCTGTGAAGGTCCTTCAGGCATATGTTACAAGGCTTCTTGTGTATGTTACGAAGTCTCACGACTGCTCACTGCTTCTTGTGTATGTTACGAAGTCTCACAACTGCTCACTGTCTTTTTACTTAAAAACTGTGGCCTTCTGTTTATTTGCAGTTTCCAATAACTACTGGTCTCTTGATACTTCTTATGAAAGTCATATATACTGTGATAGCAAATCACTGATTATGTTCCTTTTTTATTTTTGCATTGCTCGTATAATTTATGACGTAAATAAAATGATCATTTTTCATGTATCATATTTATCATGATGCAAAAAAAATGGAATGAGATTCTTTCGTTGTTTAGAGTATCTATTTTTAGTTGTTTGCTTAAGAATTTCGGCATGCGATATCTTTGTAGGAATAGTTGTGCTTTCAGAAATTGAAGCTCCACTTCTCTGCCTTTAAAGCTTTGATAAGACTCATTCGGAGGTGGGATGTTAGCGTAAGGGGTGGTAAGCACGAAATCATTTAACAGCTTATAAAGAAAGAGGAACTAAGACAGAAAGAACAGCTGCGATTATAAAAGATAAAAATGAGTTGGTGAATAAGTGGGCTGTACTTGTGGGTCCCAAAAATATATGTGGATAAAAAGTGGATTGACTTTTTAAGTGTTTATAAACACTTATCAAACATGCTATAAGTCTTGTTTTCAATAATATTGGAGTCGTCTGTATAAATCCTTTTTTGCCATTCTTTTCACTTCACTGCGTTTCCTTGAAGATTCTATACAACTAGATTCTTAGCAACTATAAAAGGCTTTGTTAGTTGTTCTATCCCGTAGTCTTCTAACACATTCTATGGAGATTGTGTCATTCTTATGCTATCCTCTTCCTATTCAGCAAGGGTGTTATGAACACCTTTGCAGTGGGTACATGTGTGTGTGTGTTTGAAATTGATAAATAGCAACTCAGAGAAGAATCTTCTTGTTTTGCCAAGCTTGGAAGGCAATGCAATGATTGCCTAAATCTAAAGCCAACTCTAATATAGAATCAATTTTTACTATGAAATGAAATGATGCCTTGTACCATTGCTTTAGACCAACAGAAATTAGGAAAATAATTTTTGTTTTAACAATATTTCTATAGTATACAAAATATTCAATAGTTTTTTAAGAACCAAGTTGTTGATATTAAATGGAAGAAATTTTAAACTATGTCAAGTTGGTAAATATAATATGGGCACCAAAAACGAGGGAAAAATGTCAAAAGATACCCAAAGGTGAAGAGAAGGTTCTAATCAACCTTAAAATAATAACTCCAAAAGAAAAAAATTAGAGTGCAAAACAATCTTCACAATGACTCCATCATTTTTATCTTTTTGTCATATAGTCAATGATCTTGATCCAAGGATCAATTTTACTGTGAATTTGAATTCTTCTCTGCCAATTGCAGAAGCCAAAGAAGAAATATTATTATGTGATGCTGCTGCTGTTGATAATCAAAAGCAGAAATTGATTATTGGATTCACCCAAAAAGGATAGGTATTGGAAAACTTACCGTTTGGAAAGTATGAAGATTGTGTATGCAAATTAATTAGAACATAGACAGTAGAAACTTTGATTACATCTTCATTTTCTTGTTTCTACATGGAAGTCCAGGTTCCCTTCGACTTCATTTCCTCCTTGTTTTTCTTTTCATTCCTCCTCTTGATAATCAAGGAACGGAAGAAATACAAATATCCTAATGAGCACACAAGATTGCCTCGTGGTTCAAGGAATATGCCTCTTAATTGGACACTTGCACTACATAGTAGGCACTTCACATCTGCCCCACCATTCTCTCAGACATTTAGCTCAAACATAGGACACCTAATGCACCTCAGATTTGGTGAAATTTCAGTAGTAGTGGTGTCTTCACCCAAGATGGCGAGCTTAAAATACATGATCTTGCATGTGCTAGTAGGCCCAAAACCATAGCCACCCAGATCATTTGGTACAATTATATTGGCATCGTGTTTAGCCCATATAGTGATTACTGGAGGCAAATGCGTAAAATTTGCATTATGGAAATGCTAAGCCCGTGGAATGTTCGATCGTTTGCCTCAATCAGGAAGGATGAAGCTTCTTGTCTAGTCGAGTCCATCCGATCAACTTGTGAAGCACAATTTACTCTAACCGAGAAATTTTCTTGTGTACAAATTCTATAACATGCAGATCTGCATTTTATAAAGAGATAGGGTGACTTACATAATGTTGATAAAGCAAGCTGCATGTTTGGCAGGAAACTTTGATTTAGCAGATTTATTTCCCCCTGAAAGTGTTCGATATAATCAGTTGGAATAAATTTAAGTTGTTGAAGATGCGGTGTAAGCTTGACATGATTCTTGACACCATTATCGATGAGCATGGAAAGAATTTGGTAGCAACAAATGAAGCAAATGGAGAGTTGGGCTGTGAAGATTTGGTTGATGTTCTTCTCAGATTAAAGGAAAGTGGCGAACTCAAATTTCCAATAACCAATGATAATATCAAAGCCGTCATTTTGGCAAGACATAGCCATATTATGCATTCTTCATTTGACATGTGGTACAATTATATTGACATCGTGTTTAGCCCATATAGTGATTACTGGAGGCAAATGCGTAAAATTTGCATTATGGAAATGCTGAGCCCATGAAATGTTTGATCGTTTGACTCAATCAGGAAGGATGAAGCTTCTTGTCTAGTCGAGTCCATCCGATCAACTTGGCAAGCACAATTTACTCTAACCGAGAAATTTTCTTGTATACAAATTCTATAACATGCAGAACTGCATTTTATAAAGTATGGAGAGATAGGGTGACTTCCATAATGTTGATAAAGCAAGCCGCATCTTTGGCAGGAAACTTTGATTTAGCAGATTTATTGCCCCCTGTGAAGGTGTTCGATATAATCAGTTGGAATAAGTTTAAGTTGTTGAAGATGCGGTGTAAGCTTGACATGATTCTTGACACCTTTATCGATGAGCATGGAAAGAATTTGGCAGCAACAAATGAAGCAAATGGAGAGTTGGGCTGTGAAGATTTGGTTGATGTTCTTCTCAGATTAAAGGAAAGTGGCGAACTCAAATTTCCAATAACCTATGATAATATCAAAGCCGTCATTTTTTCAAGACATAGCCAAATTATGCATTCTTCATTTTTCCTAACCACAATTTGTTCTGAGTGCTAAATAACTTATTGTTGCAGGACATGTTTCAGCTGGAACAGAATTTTCATCGTCAACACTAGATAGGACCATGGAAGAATTAATGAAAAACCATCGTGTAATGGCAAAAGCATAGAATGAAAAAAAAAGCAAGCATTCAATGGAAGGAAAACAATTAATGAGACTGACATTCACATGCTAAAGTACCTTAAGTTGGTTGTCAAAGAAACTTTACGTTTACACCCTCCCGTTTCTATTATCTCGAGAGCATGCAGGGAGGAATTTGAGAATGGTGGGTATCGTATACCCCTCAATGCTAATGTGGTTGTCAACATTTGGGCTATAGGAAGAGATCCCAACTATTGGAAGAATCCTGAAAGTTTTGAACGAGAGAGATTTGAGAAAAACTCAGTTGATTTCTTGGCAAATCACTTTGAACATCTTCCATTTGGGTCGGGAAAGAGGATTTGTCCTGGTATGACATTCGGTTTGGCAAATATCAAGTTTCTTTTAGCTCGACTTCTCTATGATTTTGACTGGAAACTTGCCAGCTGAATCAACTCCAGTGATATAGATTGACTGAAGTCGAAGGTCTAGCTGTATCAAGAAAAAAACTTTTGTTTGATTGCCACAACATATGACCCATAATCATTAGTATCTAAAGACATTTAAATTGCGTCTGATAATTTTCTGTTATCTACTTCTTGCTAGAAAAGCATTGATGTTAGATTACTTGTAGTTGTATTCGTCCTTTGTTTCCAAATCATCAGGAAACTGTATTTATTGAATAGAGTTGTCTGCGAGTTTGATCATAAAAATAATTATTGAAATTTGAAGCAAACACTGGGTAAACTAGTTTCTAAATGCCAGGGGATGATTGTGTTAATTGGTTTTATGACTAGGCCGGTTATAGATTTAGATTTCTCTCAGCAGTGGAAGTTGGCGAGTTTAATGTTTCAGTTAGATTTTTGATATAATGTTTGATCATTTCTGGGATATCCATGTGTTTGTGCAGCTTGCGAAGGAGTGGAAGTTGTTTTCCATATGGCTGCTCCTGAGTCATCCATTAATAATCATCAGCTCCATCACTCTGTCAATGTACAAGGTACTTTTGGGACTTCAGAGCTCTAAATAAAGAAATATACTCTCTATGCTTCTGAAAGTCTCTAGCCTATCTACTTTGCGTTTATTTATCTTTATTATACTGCAACAGGAACCAAGAATATTATTGACGCCCGTATTGAGCTAAAAGTAAAAAGACTTGTGCATACTAGTTCTCCAAGTGTGGTCTTTGATGGTGTTCATGGAATATTTAATGGGGATGAATCGTTACCTTATCCTGCTAAGGTATGGAACTGTGTTGACTTAATGTCGCAACAATATCAGCATTATCTTTATATCAGTGATCAAGAGGGATTGTTAAAAGTACTCGGATTATTATGGCAATTTTGCCTTCCTCTCTCAGCATTCATCATTATGTCTAAATAGAGTACTTTTAAAAGACAAGACATTCCAAAAAATCCAGAAGATTCGCAGATTTTTAGAACAGTGCACCGACATTTAGAGCCTGTTTAAGCCCCCTTTTTTTGCTCAAAATGCATTTTGGAATAATATTTTAATGGAGAACGCAGGGTCAAAAAATAAGGAAAAATTTTGGATTTGTGTGAATATTATTTTATAAAAAAATATGTGGTTGAAAATAAGAGAAAGAATAATATATTTTGGAAATAACGGGGACCAAATATGGGCTTAATATCACAAATACTTTATAGAGCATACGAGGGAACTTTAATAAATAATTTCTTGAAATATTATTTAATTCAATTGATTGTAAATATGTGCCTCAATAGACAAATTTTAAATTGAATTTCCTTTGCAGGCATACTTTATTACCAATTAGGAAGCATACTTTATTACCAATTCGGAACCAATCAAATTTTTGGAGTTCATGTCACTTATTCTTAAAGGCATTGGTTATGAAAGGTACTTTGATGCAGGATAAAAGGGGATTCTTGCAGAGAACTTAAAACAGCGGAATAGCAGAATCAAAAGAATAATTCCAGCAAGTAGGAAGGAAGAAAGGGGAGAAACCAGAGAGAGGGGGGGGGGGGGGTTGGAGAAGAAACCAGGGGACAAAAGGAGAAGCAAGGGAGGAAAGCTGTGGCTGCAAGCTAAACACAATCATATCATTTTCTCAACTCATTGTCTCCTCGAAATTACATTACCAAGTCTTATAAATAGAGAAAATCAATAAACCTAAAAAGTAAGTGGGCTTGGGCCAAACCCAATAATACAAGCCCAATGAAATAAAACAATAGTAAATGATCCACAATAAGCTAGCCCAAACAAGTGATGTCCTCATCAACTCTCCCGGGGTGGGAGAAAAATTCGACTCTGTTGAGTGGTTGAACTTCTATCAAGGGGGACGATATTTCATAAGAACCAAAAATCGAAACTGAAGCTTGATTCAGAGTTGTTGTAGCTTTTCTTTGACAACCCATGTATAGTCAAAATCAGGCCGATTTACCTAAGAAGTAAGGAAGCTCCAAATCTTTCTAATATTGGTCAACACAATCTGTTAATCTAAAATAACATAAATTTTATCTTTGCGTGCAATGATAGGAGGGATTGAAGTAGACATAGTAAAAGATTTAGTGTAGGAGTTCCCATATGGAGGTAGAAACGGATCAGTAGAGGGGTTAAAATAACATTTGTAAGTGACGAAATCCTTAACAGGTAGAATAGAATGGTGGTCAAAATGTAATAAAAGGTCAATGACACATGCATTTAAACCAACATGCTTTAAATTTTATAAGGACCAATACTACGGGCTAGCAGTATAATATAATCCCCAATGTTAAATTCAAAATGTTGTTTATACCAATCAACTAAAGGTTTATATAATGCATTACTTGCGTCAAGTTGTTTATTGATCTCAGTATGCAAGTTATGAAGATGATATACAAATGCTCTAGTTGACAACAACACACTAGCATGTGGGAACATGGGAATAAGATCTAATGGCCACCTAGACTTATAACTATGAACAACTTCAAATGGATTTAGACCTAGAGATCAATTCACAGAATTGTTATATGCAATTTGAACAGTTGGGGGGATTAAGTCCTAATTCGCAAGATTTTTCTGGACTAGAGACTTGAATGAGTTGCTAGGACTTTGGTTAACGACTTCATTTTGACCATCAGTCTCAGGTTGGTCTGCAGTGGAGAATTTCGATTTAGAGCTAACCATAGGCGAGTGGGTTCTCCAAAAGTGACTAGTGAAATCATGGGATATAGTATCTAGAGTCTTAGGAAGAGTCTAGATGCCACCTAAGTAGGTGTACTCACTATCATCATCAAAATCTTCAAGTTTAGGTTCTTATACTAGATCTTCTAACGACTCTTCTATTACATCATTTCATTCTTCTATGATTAAGGTTCGGTTAGGACATTTGGAAGAGATGTGGCCAAAGTCTTTACAGCTGTCGCATAGCAAGTGAGAAGAAGTCCTTGGAGTTTCTAAAATTTTAACCTTATTTTCCAAGATTGGAGGAACATTAGATGGGGGAGGTCTTAGAAGGGATTTAATAGGAGGAAGTTGAGCCAATGAAACAGAAGAATGGTTGTCAACACGCCTTCTATATAGAGAAGGGGGCCTTGGACTATCACGACCTTTATACTTATTTTTCCAAATGGGAGGAACACTAGATGGGAAGGGTTTCATAACGGACTCATGTTGAGGTGGCACTAATGAGATGGGTGAACGATGGTGACTACGCTTTTTATATGGAACTCTAATAAGTAACTCGTAATCTTGAGCTAAAGAGTACGCGTGATCAAGAGTAGTGACGCCTCTAAAGAAAAGCTCATGCTCAAATTCATCTCTTTGACCTTGTATAAACCTATTCAAAGTCAGGGCCTCATCCTCAACGACATGACATTTGAATCGAAATTTCACAAATTGAGCAATGTACTCAGTCACTTGCCGATTCCCTTGTCTAAGGGTGTTCCATTGGGTAAAAATTCCATGGTCTAAGCAACCATCGAACATAGGAATATTTAATTTAATGTCTCCAAAGAAACGCTCCTTATGACGAGGAAGAGAATGAGTACCATGATGACCATGGCATTGTTCTTGCTGACGGCTTCGATCCCTATCCCTACGATTGTATTGAAAATATTTTTGGTCACCTTGTCGATGACGATATCGTCTATTGTGACACACTTCAGAATTATTAACATCAATCAAATGAGGGATTTGCTTAAACTTGTTCAGACTAGCAGAGAGAGCCTTACTTTATTCAAGAGTAGCTGTCATCTGGGTTTGTATAGCTGCTATTTGTCGAGTGAGTTCATCAAATTGTGAAGGATCCATGGTTAGGTATTGAAACTAGAAGTGACAAGACGACTAGTTGACCACCATGCATGCACTGTATTAGCAGCTAAATGACATGCAATAGTGAGATCAATGAATAATAAGTGCAAGCAGTGGAAAATAACAATTTGAGCATTTCTTTTTTTAAAATTTCTTTTTTTTTTTTTTTTTTCTTTTATGGAAATTAAGCAAGTTCAAATATTACAAGCTAATACTGTTGATACATGTAAAATAACAAAGTACTGGTCAAATATTAGTCAACAACGTAATGGCGTAAAAGGTTAAAAAGTAAAAAGTGAACAAGACAAGAGTTTGAATGGGTCTAAGGTGTCAATTATGTGAATTTTTGGTAGAAGTGAGGAATACCGTAGCATAAAGAAATCAATCAATGCAATTTTAAAATGAACAATAATATAAACCAAAGATAGATAAAATAGTAACTTTCCTCGTTCAAGGAAATGCTGTGTTGATTCGTTGAGATGCCAGATAGCAAATTTCCATGTTCGTTGAGACACAATCCTCATCAGTCAAACTAAAATATAGTTGCAAAACAATGTTAGGAAATTCTCGATTTCTATTTTTTGTTTCTTTTCATTCACTTTTTTTTTTCACTTTCAATTTTTTCTTCATAAACTGAGGCCCAAATCAAACATGAAAACTTCTCCCATATACGTATAGCCCACAAGCAGCTTGAATAACCCCCAAATGATACTACACCAAATTCTCTCTCAAACACCGTTGTCGGGCAGCTGCGGTGGAGACAATTGTGAGGAGTGACCGACGGTGAATGTGTAACGATTTAGGTTCAGGGCCAGGGTTGGCACTATGTGGGGTGCCAATTTTATGGTGGTGGAAGACGATGATGAGGAATACCAGCTTTGGTTGCTATCTTCTTCGACGAGTTGGTAATTATGCAGGCTGTGACGGGTTTTCTGTGTTGGGCTAGGTCAGATTTAGGTTTTCGTGGGTGAGTTAGGAAGGCGATGGTGGGTTGCTATGTACAAGGCAGCAGTAGTGGAGAGTGAGGGTCGGCAACTAGGGCTTCGATCTTGTTCGCGACGAGTGTCAATCGACGGCGGGGAGCAGTGGAGTTGGGGAGGTGAGCGATGTGGGTGGTCTGTTGTGTGTTGGGCCAGATTCGGGTTATTGTTGGGCTTTTGTGATGGGATTGGATTGGGCTACCAGTATTGGTAGTGGGCTGTTGGTATGGTGTAATTTGTGGTTTATTGGAATTTAACAGTTATTTCGATGTTCTCGAAGGTTACTATCGTTGGGTGTGAGGTTTGGATTGTGGGCTGTGGTGGTAGTTGGTGCATTCGGTGATTTGAAACGGTTCGCCTGGAGTCATTTTGTATCTCAGTTTTAGACCTCTCCCAAATATGAAATTGAATGAAACAGGTTTTTGGGTGAGATTAGACGATTGTAGATGGCGGTCGATTTGTGAAGATGACAGGACAAAATTTCGATATATCACTATTTTATTCCACAAATATCTAACTACTTTTCTTACTAACGCTGTACCCATAATTTACCGTTTGCTCATATTTCAGATTTACCCTCAAAATCAATAATCTTTGTTGGACCAATCAAATATTGTTGCCAATTTAAAAAAAAAGGATGAAACTTGCCGTACAGGCAAGGGATTCACCAACCACTCACATCATTAGGGGGTGGATCGATTTTTGGCCAATTTTTTATACAAGTGCATCCTGCATGGGGACGCACTTGCTAAGAAGGTCGGTAGGGGTGAACCCCACCTAGTGAAACAGCAAAACTGTTCAAAAAATTGGCAAAGCTTTGACTGCATCTCAAACAGGTGTCGAACCAATGAGGTAACTAAAAAATCTATTTTTTTCTACTAGTTAATTTGTCTGCTTGACTATGACATAATTATTAAAACAAGAACATTAAAAAGCCTTTTTACAACCATGTCTAGTACTGGACGCCAAACGATACCCCCAATTATATATTCAACACCACTAAGATTATCTCATCAAAAAATTTAAACAGTTAGAGAGAATAACACACAAATCATGCTAGCCGAACGTCGAAGCAAGCTCAAAATTCATAGCTACCCATTTCACCTAGACATTTATATACTCCAATTGGAATTTTATTTATTCCATTTTTTAATTTAACATAATTTTCTCTGTAGAGTTTGACAGATGTTTAAGTCCGAGCTATACCTTCCATTAGCTAATTTGCTAAAACAATTTTTCATCTTTCTATCAACTGATCAATATGAAAAAAAAGTTTGTAATGCACTTAATTTGGTTTCCATCAGTGTCGGTCCTGTGATTGTCGGGGCCTGAGGTGAAGTTCGTAAATTAGGACCCTCGGCGAAATCAACGTAAATGCAAAATTCAACGATGTATTATGCGATTCATTGCTAACTTAAAAAATTAATATTAAGGGGGTGTCCTCAATCTAGAGTTTGATGGATTTTAAAAATTCATATAAATTGAAGTATCCTCAATTCAGATTTAAATATAATTTATTAAAATATAGGTGTCCCCAATCTAGATTTTTAAAAATACTTATAAATTTAGGTGTCCTTAACATAGATTTTAATAGGTAGTTTTGAAATTTAGATGTCCTCAATAATTAGTTGATTTTAAAAGATTTCATTAAGTATATAGATTTTGATAGATTTTAAAGGATTTCAAGGTAAAAATATAAATACAAAGAATCAGTAACAATTTTAACCCAAACCTAAAAATTTCACAGCATATCTCACCTCTCTTCATATTTGTTGCCCCATCTCTCTGTCTCTCTCTCCCCATCTTGAACAAGATTTTCTTCTTCTTTCTATCTCACATTTCTCTATTGTGAAAAGATCGTGTATGAGAACTTTTCAATTGATGATAATTTATGAAAGATTACTACGTTTTGTTGAATATTGGGTGTGATTTTTTTATTGAACTTATTTTTTTCTTATTGAAGCTATCGTATTTTGTTGAATATTGGGTGTATTTTTTATTGGAACTCCGTTATAATATTCAATGTTTAACAAACAATTGAACAAGGATTCGATCATTTTCTGTGATTTATTAACGTGCATATATGTAAGAATGAGTCGTTAAAGAAGAAGTAAAAATTTGTGGCTTATGTTAAGCATATTTATAAATTTTACCCAAAATCTATAAAATCCATTGAAATCTATAAAATCTATGAAAATCTTTTAAAATCTACAAAATGGAAATCCATTCAAATCTTATGAAATCTATTAAATTCTATCAAATTTCACACAATCCATGAGAATTTATAAATATTAAAAAGTCTATTAAACTCTGAAATGAGGACACCCCCGTAAAACAATTATATAAGCTGACAAGACCGCAATTATATAAGCCGACAAGGCTTTAAACATTTTCAATCTCTTCAATAACAAGTTAGGGCAAGTCATTGCTTACCTGAAAAGTATAATTTCGACGAAAACTGTAGAGTTATACCCTCGAGAATTCCACCATCACAACTCACAAGTCTAAAACAAAAATTTAACATCAATTGCTTATACAAATATGAACATGAACATCAAACTTAGGGAAATAACAATTACACACGCGCACATTTAATCAAACTTAGGGAAATAATACATTTAATAAGAACTAATCACCAATGCACCATTAAAACAACGTTATCAACAAAATAAATTAACTCAAATTAGTGTACTGGTTGCAAAAACTGAAGTTATCTTTTCTCGAATATGTATTCTCACACCTTACCGATCAAACTAAGTTGTTGAAATTAACTTTAAACTATTTTACACATTACTTGAGATCTGTTAGTTCTTCATTTCAAACTTGTACGACAAATTATATATTAATCAATAATCATTAAACATATTATATTTGTAGCATTTTCAGGTCCTCGACTACATCCTAGATAAGTATACAACAGTTAACACATTAACACGGAATGCAGAAGCCTCTTTGAACTCTCTCCAATTAGAGTATACCCCACGGCCCACATAGAATAAAAAAGACCATTTATCAATTAAAATCAAGTCATTAAAATTATAATAAGTAAATGGTAAAAGAGTTGAATACTTATAAGCAGGCAAACAGAAATCATGTAAATGTAATCAAATAAATAACTTAAACAGAATTAATAATGTAAGGATACTATACTAACAGAGTAACAGACTAACAGGCACAGCCAACTGCCGTTGCCAAGAGGGGCAAACTGTGGAATCGGAACGCCGAAAGCGGGAAGCCTGAAACCTACGTTAGGAATTGGGAGTTGAGACTGGGAGTCTAGCCGTCACAACTCACAATCCTGAAAGGAAAATTTAACGACCACAACAATCAATCTACATTAAAAAATATATATATATACCTAAAGAATCATCAAACGAATAGGTAAAGAAACTTCTAATTTACAGCTAAAACAAGAAATTCGATGGGGTAGATTGATAATGAAATGGTAAAAAACTAATTTTGTGCTGCCTGCTGACCAAAGAGAACTATCAAAATTTATTAGTCAAAGATATTTCTTTCACACCACTTGAAACTACAACAAGAACACTTATTTTACACTATATTATCACTCTTATCCTTCCTGATATACACTTATTTATGCATATTTCTCCAATATCATGTCAAATAAATCTTATGATAATAACAGTATTTTAGGAAAGAATCTCAAAAATGATGCAATATATCACAATTGACAAGTTCTTGGTATCATGATTATTGAGTAAGGTTACATCTCAAAAGATTATTTTCATATATAATATAAGTGGGATATTATCCACATATCTAGAAACAACCCAGTGGAAGAAAAGGGCATTGTGATTAATCATTCAATTATACAAAACAGACAAAAATCGATTGCATCAAAATAAAATCCTATTTCACAAATTTCATGTTAAAAGGCTCATAACACTGACAGAACCATGTTTTGTATTCCAGCACAAATAAAAGGGCAGCAACGTAAAAGCAAATTATATCGGAAAATTACCACACCACGAGCCATCTTCACAAAATTGATGGTCAGTGGTTGATGTAGTGATCTAGTACCCAAGTTTTGGCTTTAATACCACTTTGATGCAGGATAAAAGGGGATTCTTGTAGAGAACTTAAAACAGCGGAATAGCAGAATCTAAAGAATAATTCTAGCAAGAAGTAGGCAAGAAGAAAGGGGAGAAACCAGAGAGAGGGGGGGAGGGGGGGCAAGAAACTAGGGGAAAAAAGGAGAAGCAAGGGAGGAAAGCTATGGCCGCAAGCCAAACACAATTCATATCATTTTCTCAACTCATCGTCTCCTCGAAATTACATTATCAAGTCTTATAAATAGAGAAAACCAATAAACCTAAAAAGTAAGTGGGCTTGGGCCAAACCCAATAATACCAACCCAATGAAATAAAATAATAGTAAATGATCCACAAGAAAATTTTTCCTCCTCTAAGCTTGTGAAGTCTTTTTTTTATAGAAGATTGGAAAGATTTCCCTTTCTTCTCATTGGTCCATTTGTTTATATCAACAGTTTTTCTTTTGCATAAAGCAAAAGTAGTGATAAAGTGCTATGACAATTGTCTCCTCTTTTCAAAAAGCAGATGCCTCTTTTTCAAAAGGTAGATGCCTCTTTTCTTCCTTTGAAAAAGCAGATGCTTCATCTTTTAATCTGATTGGCCTTCTTGGCTTTTACTTTCGGTGGAACCTCTACTTGGCTCATCTTCTTCTGTCTGTAATGAGCTTTTTTCTTTGTCTTTGTCTTCAATTTTATTGCACCATTAACATTCGTGATATTTTCCAAGACTTTGTTTCAATACTTTACATAATTGGCCTTGGTAATTTGATGGAGCGTTGGGCAGATTATAAAAATTCTTTTCAAAATTGTAAAGAATCTTTATTCTTTCAAGCTCAATTGTTGATTCGGTTTTGCTTGTAACCAAGATGAAATTTGAAGAATAATTTACCTTGATTTTTTATTCATTGTTAAAGGATTTCAATCCCGTTAAAATCTTCTGGTAAGAGAGATTCCTCCATTCATGAAGTGTTTGCTCATTAACACATTCTATTTGTCCTTCAATTGGTTTATTCAGAATGACTTCTGAAATAGTCTTCATCTAAATATGATGGTATCCTTTGATCAGAAAACCTTCATTCCAGAAAGGAATTGTACTATTGATATTCAGCATCATTTGTAATTTCTGGTCTTTAATAACAAATTTTTTAAAGTCTTTTAAAACTTTAAATAAGTTATTATCAACCATTTTGATTTCATCCATGGTTTCACTAAAAATCATCATTTTGATTAATCCACAGTGAAAAGCTGTCTATGCCATTGTAGTATCAGCTCCTTCAAAGAAAATGAACTGACCAAAGTTCTTTTCAACTGTCTCGTAGTAGCCTTTTTCTGGAACGAATGCTCCAACAATCTTGGCTTCTTCTTCAAATTGAAGAAAGTCATTTATTGTGATTCCACTTACGAATGGACTTTCTTCTTGTTTTGGAATTTTTCCAATTCTTTTGAATTGATTTGGAATGGATTCATTTTCTGAATGACAGTTATTTCGATGTTCTCGACGGTTACTGTTGTTGGGCGTGAGGTTTGGATTGTGGGTTGTAATGGTAGTTGTTGGTGCATTCGGTGATTTGAAGCGGCTCGCCTGAAGTCATTTTGTATCTCGGTTTTGGTCCTCTCCTAAATATGAAATAGAATGAAACAGGTTTTTGGGTGAGATTAGACGATTGCAGATGGCGGTCGATTTGTGAAGATGACCGGACAAAATTTCGGGATGAACTGCCTCACAAAATTGATGGTCAGTGGTTGATGTAGTGATCTAGTACCCAGGTTTTGGCTTTGATACCACTTTGATGCAGGATAAAAGGGGATTCTTGCAGAGAACTTAAAACAGCGGAATAGCAGAATCTAAAGAATAATTCCAGCAAGAAGTAGGCAAGAAGAAAGGGGAGAAACCAAAGAGAAGGGAGGGGGGGGGGGATTGGAGAAGAAACCAGGGGAAAGAAGGAGAAGCAAGGGAGGAAAGCTGTGGCTGCAAGCCAAACACAATTCATATCATTTTCTCAACTCATTGTCTCCTAGAAATTATATTACCAAGTTTTATAAATAGAGAAAACCAATAAACCTAAAAAGTAAGTGGGCTTGGGCCAAACCCAATAATACCAACCCAATGAAATAAAACAATAGTAAATGATCCAAACAAGTGATGTCCTCATCATACTCTTATTCTTTCTTAAGAGAAATTCAATCCCTTGTTATTTGAGTATGAAGCCTGCTTACTTCCCTTGGGTTAGCACTCCTCTTTTGCTGGTTTGTCAGTAGGCACCTAGTGTTTCACCGTAAGTTTCAGTGTTTCAATGGATAGAGAAGTATTTTATCTGATCTTGCTAGTTGAAGTAACGCTGGTTAATTCTAAACTAGTAGTTTTAAGCAGCTTATCAGCTCATTGCAAATGGGTTTTACTATTACTTGTTAGGAAAGATGATTTGACTTGGTATAAAAGCTGATTATTGAGGTACTGGGCAAGTCTCACACATTGATTTTGTTAATAGAATACAGGTTTCCCAGTGCCATCATTTCTTTGATTTTGTTAATAGAATTCATGTTTCCCAGTGCCATTATTTCTCCTCTTCATTCTATTCTTGGTTCTTGATTGTGTGATGGTTTCACTTTGTTACTCCAGAGCTACTATATGAGCTCTGGTGACCCAATCACCAGCATCATTTGGATATGGATGCTATATTAAGGGGAAAAAAACCTAAAATATTACTCTCTCTCTCTCACACACGTGCATATCTATTTGTTCCCTTAACTCAGTTAGGATCTGTAACTCTGTTGTCTTTTGTTTCTTAAAGGGTTTATTTCCATGTAGAAATTTATAATTACCAACACATGCTATCTATATTTCTGATTTTATATAGTATGCAGGCCAAAAATAAAGATTCCTGCTGCTGTTATGATGCCAATTGGACATATGGTGGAGTTAATTTATAAGCTTTTAGCTCCTTATGGGATGAAGGTTCCGCAGTTGACACCTTCAAGAACTAGACTTCTGTCTTGCAGCCGGACGTTTGATTGTTCTAAAGCAAATGATCGTCTTGGCTACACACCAATTGTACCACTCAAGGTCCTTCTAATGACCCTCAATGAATCAATTGTGTTTCTCTTGCCTGACACCTACTTATTGGTTTATTGAGCCTTAATTTGGCAAATTTTTTATATAATTTATAAATGGTCAAACTTCATTTTCAACTACGATTCATTTTTGTCTATTTATAAATTAAACTATTTATAAATTCTTCCTAAACGGAGTATAAATAGTTCTATGCTATGCGATTGTCACACTACTGAATCTAATTGGATAAATTGATCATTTATGCAGCCCAAACATCTAATTTCGTCAAACATACATACATAAGTGTAGCTTTATACCGCTTTACTTGATTGCTTCCTGCACACATTTAATAGAAGGAAATCTTAAACCTCCTCCAGTACTAACAAACACTGGCATGAGCATGATAAGAACCTGAATAAATGGAACAAACTCGTTTACCTAAGAACAGTAAATTCAATGGAAATGAGTGAATTTATTGAATTGAACGTAAAATGTGACTCCAACAAACCAGAGCATTCGAGAGGCTCTATACTCTCCTACCAAACTCCTGATTTTTCTCTAATTGTTACTCGCCCCTCCCCTTTACATTTATTGACAATTTCCCTGACTGACTCACTACCCTCCCCCCTTACAAAATAACAGAATAACAAACTGCATGCTTAATTAATTTGGATATTTAGCTGACGTGGTTGACTCCTTACTCCTTGCGTATTTAAAAATCACCGGGGGTCTATCAATACCACCCCCTTTCAAAATCCACCTTGTCCTCAAGGTGGAAGTCTGGAAATTGCTGTCGGATGTTTTCAACTGACTCCCAGGTGGCTTTGTAGTCTGTAGAGTTCTTCCACTTGATCAGAACTTCAGGACCCAAGGCTGAACTTGCTGAATTAGAACGGAATTGTAACACACTCTCCGGTTCCACTTTGCTCGAGGTCTCCACCGCAAGGTGTTCCGATAATTCTGAAACGGTCTGAGCATTCCCGACAGCCTTCCTGAGCTGCGACACATGAAAAATCGGGTGGATAGCTAACTCCGGTGGAAGTTTCAATTTGTAAACAACCTGCCCCACTTTGGCCTGAACTTCAAAAGGTCCATAATATCTGGGAGAAAGTTTTGCTGATGATCTCTGAGCCACAGACTTCTGACGATAAGGATGCAATTTCAGACATACCAAGTCCCCAACTTTCAACTGGAGATCACGGTGATGCCCATCCGCCTCTTGCTTCATTCGTTGTTGGGCGCGCAAAAGTTGCATCTTGAGGTGCTGAAGGACTTCATCCCTGCTGACCAAGGATTGTTCTACTGAGGAAACTATAGTCATTCCCTTCTCAAAAGGCATTACCGGCGGAGGATCACAACCATACACAATCTGAAAGGGAGTGTGCTTCGTGGCGGTGTGGAAAGAAGTATTATACCAAAATTCTGCCCACGGTAACCACTGCCTCCATGATCGTGGCTTACTTGAAGCAAAACAATGCAAGTATGTCTCCAAACACCGATTGACGACCTCCGTTTGGTCGTCGATTTGTGGATGGTAGGCTGTACTCCTTTTAAGGACTGTCCCCTGAGCCCGAAAAAGCTCCTCCTAGAACTTACTCATAAAAACTCGATCCTTGTCTGATTGACACAATAGACTGTGGAATTCCATGCAACTTAACAACTTCTCGTATGAAGACTTTAGCCACTAAGGGTGCCATGAAGGGATGCTTTAACCCAATGAAGTGCCCATATTTGCTGAGTCGATCGACCACTACTAAAATAGTGTCCTACCCTTCAAACTTGGGCAGCTCTTCGATGAAGTCTAATGAAATGTCAGCCCACACTCGCTCTGGAATCGGCAACGGCTGCAAAAGTCCTTGAGGAGATAAGGACATGTACTTATTCAGCTGGCACACATTGCAGCGGCTCACAAATTCCCTGACATCCCTTGTAATCCCCTTCCAATATATTTCTCGAGCTATCCATTTGTAAGTTTTGAGAAATCCCGAATGACCACCGATTCCCGAGTCGTGATATTCCTGTAGGACCTTCTCAATGAAAGGAGATGATTTGGGTAGCACTAATCTGCCTTTGTAATACAAAGTCCCATCCACCACCGAATAGCAGTTTGGTCCCCTCCACTTGATTGTATGTGGGCAATGATTTTGCTTAACTCTTTGTCCCTTGCTATTGCTGTTTTTACCTCATCCACTTCTAACACCCGGGGCCTTGATATTTCCAGAAAACTCACTATGGCTCCCATTCTTGAGAGGGCATCAGCAGCTCTGTTTTCCATACGGGGCTGATATTGAATTTCAAAGTCAAAGCCAAGGAGTTTAGTCAACCATTTCTAATGTTCTTCACAAACTAAGCGCTGCTCTAGAAGAAATTTCAGACTTTGCTGATCAGTCCTTACTATAAAATGTTTGCTAGTAAATAATGCCGCCACTTCTAAACAGAAAACACTATGGCCATCAATTCCCACTCATAAACTGATTTGTGTCTAGCACTCAACGGAAGCACCTGGCTGAAGTAGGCAATGGGATGCTGTCCTTGTATTAAAACAGCCCCCAACCTGTGGCCCGATGCATCGGTTTCCACCACAAATACTTGGGAGAAGTCGGGTAAGGCAAGAACGGGCACTTCAATCATTGCTATCTTCAGTTTGTAGAAGGCATCCTCTGCCACCTCACTCCAGTTAAACCCGTCCTTTTTCAACAATTCGGTAAGTGGCCAAGCAATCACCGCATATCCTTTTACAAAACGTCGATAGTAGTCGGTAAGCCCCAAAAATCAACTTAGCTCCCGAAGGTTCCGAGGCGATGGCCAGCTGCACATTGCCTTTATCTTAGACTTATCCGCTGATACTCCTTGTCCCGATATTATATGGCCCAAGTATTCCAATTGAGGCTGTCCAAAAGTGCACTTCTTCTCATTTACGTGTAGCTTGTGTTGCTGTAAGCATTCCAAAACAATGTCCAGATGTTCCTGATGCTCCCTCGACGAAGCACTGTACACTAAGATGTCATCAAAAAAGACTAGAACAAACTTTCTGAGATAGGGTTGAAATACCTCATTCATCAAACTTTGGAATGTTGCCGGTGCATTTGTCAGTCCAAGCGGCATGACAAGGAATTCGTAGTGGCCTTCATGAGTATGGAAAGCCGTCTTTGGCACATCATCCGGTTTCATTCTTATCTGATGGTACCCCGATTTAAGATCCAGCTTTGAAAAGATGGCTGCCCCATGAAGTTCGTCCAGCAATTTATTGATCACTGGTATAGGAAATCTATCTGGGACAGTGACCTTGTTTAACGCTCGGTAGTCTACACAAAAACGCTAGCTCCCATCTTTTTTTTTTTACCAACAAAATTGGGCTAGAGAATGGGTTGCAACTGGGTTGGATTATCCCAGCCTCCAGCATGTTTCGCACCAATTTCTCGATTTCATTCTTCTAGAAATTCGGATAACAATATGGCTAACGTTAATCGGGACTGCCCCTGCCTGGAGCAGAATCCCATGGTCATGGGATCGTGATGGGGGAAGCTCATTAGGCCACTCGAAGACTTGGTGATGCCACCGCAAGACTTCAGTAAGCTCGTCAGGCCCTTGCTCACTTTCTCCTCGTTTCCCAAACTCATACTTCCCAGCTCCAACAGTACCCCTTGGTCACCCTCCTTGAAGTTTCTGAATATCGACTTAATAGAGACTTGGGTCTTCTGCAGGTTAGTTTCTCCTTGCAGTAACACCTCGTGCCCATCTACCTTAAATTTCATCCTCAACCTCCCCCAATCCACCTGCATTTGTCCCAATGTTCACAACCACTTCATTCCTAAAATTAAATCAGTGCACCCTAATGTTAGAAGTAAGAAATCATCCACAACCACAAGGCTTGGCAGGAAGACGACTACTCCTTTACAAATGCCCACCCCCTTCACCAACGACCCCGTTCCCACAGTGACCCCATATCCGTTGGTGCCCACAACCTGAATTTGTAGCTTATTTACTAACTCCAGGGAAATAAAATTGTGGGTTGCCCCACAGTCAATGAGTACCACCACCGCACGACCTAACAACACCCCGGTCACCTTCATGGTTTTCGGATTTGTTAGCCCCACCACCGAGTTTAATGAAAGTTCCACTGCCTCCTGTACTTCATCTTCCCCTGCCTCTCCGCCCAAATCCAGTGGTTCCTCCTCCTCTTGCATGACAAGAACCTTCAGTTCCCTGTAGCGACATTTGTGACCCGGTTGAAATTTCTCGTCGCCTTTGAAGGACAGTCCCTTCTCCCCTTTCAACTGGAGCTCCGCATCAGTCAACCTTTTGTAAGGAGTCACCTCCTTCCCCGTCGCCGAACCGCGAGAGACAGGAGTTAGGGGCTTCGATGGGGCTGCTGGACTGCGTTGGATTGGAGCTGTGTTGCCTGCCTGGGAGTTTTGGGCGTAGGAGAATGGGCTGTAGGTGGTACTGCTTGAATAACTCTTGCTTTTAGTTGGGCCTTGGTGAACTTGGGCCTGATTAATTGCTTCATTTCGATCTTCGACCCGTTGGGCCATAACCATAGCTTGGGCCAGCCCACGAGGCTTCATCATCCTCACCTCAACTCTGATAATAGGAGTCAGCCCATTGATGAAATTACTTTCCATTACCTCCTCCGACACTGCTTTTAAGTGCGCAGCCATGGCTTCAAATTGACGCCGGTAATCCCGAACGGAGCTCGCTTGCCTTAGCGCCAAAAATGTCTCCAAGAGTGTCCCCTCCTGCGACGGTCGAAAGCGCTCCAACACCAGCGTTTTCAAATCCTCCCAGCGTCGCAGAGGTTGCCTGCTATCTTCCCACTGGAACCATGCCAGAGCTTCTCCTTCGAAACATACAGCCGTGACCTCTATTTTCTCCTCATTTGACAGTTGGTTCAAGCTGAAATATCTCTCTGCCCTAAAGATCCATCCATTTGGATTATCGCCGTCGAAAATGGGTATTTCTAGCTTCCGGTTCCTGTAATCTGTTCGTGTCCCGTCTTCCCAAAATTTCCTCCCCTCATTACTGTTGTCAGCTTCACCAGACATGGCCAGTGCTGCGGGGTTAGTGGGGGGTTCATAGGCTGCTTCGAGGGAGGCTTTTTCCTTCCTTTCCCGTTCTATTTCGGTCCACTGCTTCATCATCGCCTCAACTTTCTCCATTAACACCCCAAATTGCCCTTCTAAGGTCTCCACTCGATCAGATAATGTCATTTTCCCCAGAAATCGGATGCTCTGATACCAAAAATTGATAAGAACTTGAATTGATGGAACAAACTCAGTGAATTTATTGAATTGAACGTAAAATGTTGACTCCAACAAACCAGAGCATTCGAGAGGCTCTGTACTCTCCTACTAGACTCCTGATTTTTCTCTAATTGTTACCCGCCCCTCCCCTTTACATTTATTGACAATTTCCCTGACTGACTCACTACCCTCCCCCCAACAACATAACAGAATAACAAACTGCATGTTTAATTAATTTGGATACTTAGCTGACGTGGCTGCCTCCTTCCTCCTTGCGTATTTAAAAATCACCGGGGGTCTATCAGAGCGTCCACTCAATATTTTCTCTGACATTTGATTGAATTTGTAAAGACGTATTGAAAACTTTGGTGGCAGAAAATCTGTTGGTGCTTCTATGAGTCATTATATGTGATAATCTTTCTTCAATGAATATTAATTGTTTGCAGGAGGGCCTTAGGAGGACTATTGAATCATACCCACACTTGAGGGCTGATGTTCCAACCACAAATGATGGGCCATCAATTTATTCTCAATGAAGCTCTTATTTTTTCTTCCCTGGATGCAAAATGTTCCGCATATTTTAGTATTCAGTTGGTATGGTGTCATTATTTCACTCCAGTATTGTCATTAGTCAACCGCTAAGTTTGTTACCACTGATATGCATTTATATGCCAGAATCTAACAGTGACTTAGACTTCTGAAAACCATATGATTCAATTTCAGTTCCAAAATACATCATGGAAAATGAAGCTAATAGTCGATCATGTACAATGGTTTTTGACCTCAACTGCACCTGGGAATTCTTACCCTTGTGATCCAAAAATTCCAATGTTAATATGTTGTATGGAATTTATTTGGCTAGTTGGTTGGTCACGTTAAAGTTACCGAGGAAGTGTTGATAGACTTAGATATAAATGTTTTTTCTTGATCTAGGATATGAGCCTATGTGTGTGGTGCTAATAAATTAAGGACTAAGGACTTGAAGGAGTTCTGGAATGTTAAGAATTTATGTAAAAAGAATAACAAGCTAGAATGGTGTGGTCTGTTTGGATGTGATGGAGTGAGTGAAAAGAAAATGCATTAGGAAAGGAATTCTACAAAAGGTGGAAGCATATATTGGAATGGTTTGAAAGCTCTACTATGGGAAGGAGCTTTGTGGTGGAGATGAAATGGAAATATGACAGGTTACAAATTTTTAATGTTTCTTTGTTATCATGCAAATAGCATGCAGTTTTTCTTATTGTTCATTTTCTGCTGGAATAGGTGGACGAAACGTATTATATGAGTAGTATTTCATGTAGTTATTTTTGGGTTATGTTTTGGTAGCTTTATTTTGAGCTTGCTTCCCCTTGACCAGACTTCTGATATTTGAATTTTTCTTACATAAATTAAAATATTCAGTTTAAGCAACATGTCGTTACGACTATATTGTTGGATTCTTGAATGCGTTTCTCAAAATTATCACTATATTATGACACTTGCAGTTGCTGATGTGCTTCTTTGGAGGAATAAAAAGCAAACACTAACAGTACTGTTGATCTTGGCTGCATTTCTCTTCATTTTTATTGCAACTGGATATACCATTATAACTGCACTTTCCAAGCTTCTGCTGGCAGCATCAATTTTCCTTTTCATCCATGCTAAGTTACCAGAGAAAATGTATAAATGCCAACTCTCTCTTTTTCTGTTTAAGCAATTATTTTGAGCTTTTTTATGGTTTATCATGGAATTAGATAACCATAAAAATGTATACATCTCAGATATGGTGTTAAACAAAGGGATAAATTCCATGGCTCGTCTGTTTGGTGACTGATGAGTTTGATGAGTAAAAGAGTCTAAAGAGTACTTAAGTAGAATGCAAATCCATGTGTTTTTTTACTTAATCTACAATATGCCCTACAATATTAATAGTTATATTTAGGTTCAAGTTGCTTGTCCGAAAGAGAATATTAACATATCGCTTTAATAGGACATCTGCATAATAGGAATTATTAGGAGTGCTCGGGATGCCTGTGTTTGTGCAGATTGGGATATAAAATTGAAAAAATTCAGGAGTCAAAATTTCACATTTCAGAAGATAAGTCTCACCAAGTTGCCATGTCAGTAGCGTCAGGGTGGAACTCTGCAATGGTTTGTTTAAAATCTCTTTGCAAAGGAAGTGAATTGATACTTTTTCTGAGGGTAATATCATTTGCATTTTAATTGCTTTGCACACTAAATGGAAATTTCACTGTATCTGCATTTTTTCCTTCATTTATTGGTTAAAAAGATGTTAAGAAAGTTCTTTTAAAAGTTTTAAATCAAGCTATCCACATGTATGCAATGACCTTATGTATCATTCTGGATGGGTAAAAATTGGATAGAGAATGTTGTGCCTAGTGGGCTGCAATTCGGTGGTTGAGGGTATGGTACTAGGAAAATGACTCATTCATACCAAGTTGTTGAATGTGACGTCTCCTTTAATATTTCACTCGAAATTTAGGTTAGATTTCTTCACTTGTTCAAGGTCAACCATTGAGTTTGTTTAATGTCTTTCATTTTCACAATCCATAATTCTTCTATGCTTAACATGGGGGGGAAAAAAAAGTTTACATTTCTTTGTTCTTTCGTAGTTTGAAGTAACACTTTGGTATTAATAGTTCGAGATTAAGTGGAACTAAGATGAAATGCATGGAATGTGAGAAGGACATAATGCACAAGAATAGAGTGGATTGGACCAAATGAAATGTCATGGGAATCTTATGTGATTGGAGTACCTACCCCTTTAATGAAGGAGGATTTGATGAGGACATACTGCACAAGTATACAGCGGATTGGACTGGATACACAATTGTCATGCAGATATTATGTGGTTGGAAGAATGAAGATACCAAGGTCCTCCTTTAAAATGGAAGTTTTATAGGATGAATATTAGATAAGTTCTTTTTTATGATATTGCTTATTGAGCAATTAAATAATAAAAGCTCATAGGATGAATATATCATAATGAGAAGATTAAGGTGGATATGTGATAATTATAGGTTAGATAAACTATGATATTATGTTTCACTGCAAAAGGGGAGTTGGCATTGTGGATAAATTTAGAGAACATTAACATAGATGGTTAAGGTGTGTCTTCTGTAAATGGAAAGACGCTATCAATAATTGGAGCAATGTAATTCCAATAGATCATGTTAGGAGAGTGATGACTAAACCAAAAGTAACATGACTCCATGGTGGCTTTTCTACGAGAGGTAGCTTTAGATCGAATGGACATGGCAGATTTCTTGGGAGAACATGTTAGGAGACTACAATGCTTTGAAGTAGAATGAGTGGGGTATGTGCTATGCGCCATCAACATGGATACAGGCATTGGGCACTGATGTTAATATTATAAATCCATGAACTGCTAGTAAGTTGAGCTAAAGGAAAATGATAATAGGAGTAGGATTAAAGTAAATTGATGACTCTCAGGTTCCCACAAGGAGAAAAATAATAACTTGTGGCCACCTTGCTCACTTTTTTTCTATGAAACACTTCTACATTTGCATTTACTGTAATTGGGATTTCATCAACCAATCTTTTACTCATTCTGAATCTGGTTGTGGAACAGATGGTTCTCTCTCTATTGGCTCTCAGTATACTTGGAGCTGCTTCTTTTTGCAATATGTTCATTATAGGTATGCATTCTCTGTGTGTGTGTGAACGTGTCATCCAGTTTATCCAATTGTATGCAATTGACATTTTGATTTTATGATTCTGTGAATGTATATTTTTGGGTCTGTGTATGTGGCATATGTTTAGTGAGGATGCCAAATAAACTCTGAAGTGAAGTCCAAAATCTCTCACCAGTTGCCATTTGATTATTGTCTTTGGACAATGCAGGAGTTTCCCAGTGCCTTCCTTGCTTTTGTCGTGTATGAGAAAAAGGAAGAAGAGATGGATGAATTGATCCTTAAGATTATCTCACTTGGCTGCAAATCGAAGTCTTGTAATTCTGGAAAAACTTCCGACTCAAAAAAACTGCAATAATTGTTAAATTAACACGGGGAGCTGTTCCTATTCATCACTCGCTTGGAGCTCCTTTGTCGCTTTCAGATTCTTCCTACTGTTGGCATTGAATGCTTCGCATTTTCTTCTGGACATGAAAGAAACGTGCTGGACGATCGCTACATTTTCTACCTCGTGTGCACATCTCTGCCAAGATGAACGCTGTGTATTGTGATCAATGCCTGCCTTTATCATGAATATGCCTTTATTTTTGTAGCGTTTCAGAGAGTTGACATTGATTTGTTAGTTCTCACTTGATGTTTCAATTTATTGTGAAGGTCTTTGATAAAATTCCTTGTCTTTTAGTTCTGTGTGCCACAATCCGACCTTCATGGTTTCAGGGATTTATAGCGTATACGCTTGTGTTTTGCATTATCTTTCCCCATTTTTCCCCATTATCATGAGCGAAGAGTTCTCTGGTGATCAAAATAGATTTGTGGGACATGGTGTTAACAGGCTACACTAACTCAAATCAAACATCTTATGCCGTCGGCCTAGGCTGAAGTAATCTATTTTGAAAATAAATATTCGTGGAAAATACATTACCAATTTAGATTAATTTAATCAACATAATAGATTACCAATTAGTGAGACATAACAACTCGAATAAAAGAATATCTACTCATCAAACTGTGTTAAATATTGAGATGCCAAGAGATAAAAGAAAAGCATACGGAAGCATGTTTTTAGCCAATTGAGTGGAAATCGACTTTCCATAATTTTGGTGATTTTTTCTTTTCCACCTTGCAAAAAATTAGTTTGCCTTGTCCGATATGGAACAATGCTAGGCGAA